TATGAATGGAAACGATGTTTCATGGCGTTTTCAATATACCTTTCACAAGCTGTATTAATCATGTATTCAATTTTTTTTGGAGCACGAGTAGTAGCAATAGCCTGCTTATACGGCTCTCACTTTTGTGTTTGGTGTAGCAAATCTTTTCGCTACTTCTTTCTGCTGTTTTCGCACTCGTATTCAGTTTTGCTTTGCTTGCCTTCTTAGCGGTTCCCGCTTGGCATTCTCAGCTCGAATCATTTTGGGTCCGAATCTTGTGGTGCATACTGAATTTTAAGTAACAGCTGGAAACAGTTAGTAAAAGTTAATTTGCTGTCTTTTACATTTGTCGGTTCCATTATGGTCATGTAAAATCTCGCAAAAAAAAAAAATAGAGCAGTGAAAAAGGCACATGGTTTTTGGATCTTAGTTCTCTTAATCGAAACGAGTTTTTATGGCGTTTTCAATTTCAGACTTTATAACAGTCCAAAAAATAAAGGAATGTGCAATAATTATCAGGAGAGGGGGCTGAAAAACAAACCGAAAGTATCACTTAAAAAGTGAATTTGCATTGTTTCAAACTTCATCGATGTTATTCAATTTTATTTTTTGTCAAATAATGAGGTTGAATCCAAAAGAACCGTATCTATGTTTAGAAAAAGAACGTTTTTGTGTTGTGGTCACCTACTCCATAAAGCGAGCGCGTGAAATTAGGAAGTTTCATTTGATTTTCGCAGTCGTGCAACGACGGCAAAGAAATGTACAGAAGCGTGACGCACGTGCAGAGTTGTTGTGTTGTTAATATAAACCTATTGCTTTTTTGCCGTTCTCGTTGCCGTCGCCGTCGTCGTTGGTTAAGTTTCCAATTGTTGGGATCCAGAAATTTTGCTACCATGGTGACGTGACGTCACACTTGTCCTCTCTATTGGCCATATTCATGATGATGTCATTTGACTGCATCTACCAGAATTCATTTCAATTTGCATGAGATTTCAGTGACAATTGTCCTTGTAGATATTTCTTAGCCGTTGTAGAACGACTACGACGTGAAACTTCCTAATTTCACGTGTCCGCTTTATAAACTAGGTGAACACCACACACTGCTATTTTTTTCTTTTTCTGAACTCAAATTCGGTTCTTTCGGACTTAACTCCAAAAAGGTTAGCCAACAGTTGACAAATTAATTGAAACAGAACGAGATCGATGAACTCTGAAACAGTTTTAAGTGACCTTTTTCGGTTTGTTGTCATCCAGAAATTTTGCTACCTCTGCAACGTTACGTAATGACTTCTCCGATCTTTTTCTCCATACTCCGCGTTCAGTGTTAAAAAAAGTGGCTATTCTTGCCTGATATCATGCTGGTTGCTGTTTGCTATTTGCCGATAGCCATTTCTTTTCGTTTTCTGTTTTCAGAAACGAGACATTCTTACACGAACGAAGCAAGAAATGAGCATAGAAAATGTCAAACTTCGGCGAAAGTGTGGACTTCTTGGAAACGAACCGTTGCTTAGAGATTATGAGCAAAGAAAAGAGCAGGTATTTACAGAAAAGCACGCTCTGACATGGTTTTGACATTTTTCACAGGTTGCGATGGGTTTGCGATCGAAGTAATGCAAAACCAATCAAAATCCAATATATTTTAAAGGTATTTTCGCGCATTTCAAGGGTTTTATTTTGTACTTCTTTGAAACTACACGCTTACGTCTCCAAATTGACTGGTTCTGATTAAAGAAACCCATCAAGGGCTTGAAAACTTGTAGAACACTCGTCTGCATAAATGGTGGATTGTTGGAGAGCACTTGCGATTGATTAATTGGTTGATTGACGATTTATTCATTAATCGATCAATTAATTAATTGATTGATTGATTGATTGATTGATTGATTTCATTGGTGCCTGATTGACTGTCTGACTGATTGAATGATTGCTTGTTTAACCGTTCGTCTCGACCTTGATTACAAATTCAAAGGCAACCAATTTTTTTTTAACTTTTTTCACTTCTGATTGTGAAGATAAAAGAACGAGGCATATGCCAAGGTAAAAAAATTAGAACACTCACGACATTATTGAGTTACCTTCCTCCCTTCCTCAATGCCAGCAAGGAGTAACTACTGATGAAAGTTTCGTTTTCCGTTTTTAGAGTGACGATCTACGAGAGAAAATCAATCGATTGAAAATGGCACACGCCGAGCTAACAATGAACTGCAGCGGAGTACGACCAAAGATAGAAGGAGCCAGGCTAGAAGAAAAACAACTTTAAAGTCCTCTGTAATTTATGAATTAATATGTTTTACACACATAGATCATATCAAATACATATTTAACACATAGGTTCGTTTTCTAGAGTTTCAAGATTTGTATATGTATAGTTATGGCCGTGTCATCTTGTAAATATCTCTATTTACTTTATTGTAGTATCTCTTGCCATCTCCAAACACTTTTCAACATACACGTGTCATGATAATTTCTCAATGTAAAAGAATTGTATAGTAATTGAAAAGGCATGCACAAAACGAAGTGGTTAATAAAATTCGAAAACAGCAGTTTTTAACTTTTTGCTTTGAAAAGGCTTTAGAGAGGCAACTTCAACATAATCGCCTCCCTTAAAATTATCGCCGCCCCCCCCCTTCCCTTTCCTCGCCATCTTCTTTTTTTCTTAAAAGCCCATAATGTGATTAGTCTTTTATTTAATGGGCTCAAGTTCCAGTGAGCACTATTTGATATAATCGCCTCCCTCGAATAATAGCCCCCTTTGGTGAGAGGGAAAAAATAATCGCCCCGGCCTTTAATTAAAGGAAATACGTTATTTACCTACTTTACTTTTTCGTCAAGCACATTCGAATTTGAAGTTGATTCTAATACAAATCTGTCGATCCTGATTGACGATCCTTGCGTCGAACTTTTCATGCCCTTAATCGACTAGTTTTAACTAGACTAGTATTAAAATACTGATAATAGGTTCGGTAAATTTGGCAGAAAAGTTTGACAACCATTAGTCCTGTCTTTTAAGTTATGATAATTTAACGGTTAAGAGAAAATTCATTTTCATGAATGGGATGGGACTTTTTAAAACAATAAAACAATAAACCTAAGTTGCATTCCTGGTGGCGACAGAGGCGACGTGTCTTGGTATACGCATTCCGTGTCCAAAAGACCGTCTCCGAACAGAATCACAGAAAACCGCCCCGATCATCTGGTCGGCGATCGTTTTCGACTGGTATAAACGTAATTTTCCAACGTCTGACATGTGAGAGCGGAAGGGCCTCTTCCGCGGTAACGCTATACTGTTGGAAAGGACCAGATGCTTGTACTGAATCCTAACGGTGGATTTTATCGTCACTGATTCGATAGGGATCGTAAGATCGGACGTTGCTGAAGAGAGACGTAGCCGGCAAACCTTGAACCAGTGGCTACAAGAATTCATCCCTATATAACTACTCGGACCTCCCACACTGATCAATTCTCAGTTTCCTGGACAGAGGCCCACAGATCGTCACCGGCCAATTCCTGGTTGGCATCCATGCTTTCTGCTAGAAGTTCTATTTCACGGTCCCGGTTAATTTTGTACGGGTGTGAATTCTGATGTAAATCGCCTCTTTGACCCTGCGTTTGTGCCATTGATGGCCACGGTGGCTACTAAATGTAGCAAAGAGGCATGTGACTGGGTAGGGCGCGTCTCTCAACGCGTAGTAGCATGAAAAAAAGTGTACAGTTCGAGAAAAAGTAAAGAAGGAAAAGTATTAATCTTTTCTTTAGTAAGTGTCTTAGTAATATTGAAATCTTGTTATCGCTGGAGTGTGTTGTGCAGAGGTTAAAAGAATGGACACAACAGAATTGAAGAGGTCGAGCTCGAGGTCTCCCGTTTGTTGCCAGAAAGAACCACACCAGCGCGATTTTTTTTGTCTACTATTGAAGGAAACGTGAATTTGCTTCAATTTTAATTTGGTTCAACAATCCTCTCACATTTTGTACATTTTCAAAAATCTACCTTCCTCCCCCAAACCCACCTCTCTCTGAGACATAATAACAGTCTCTCTCTTAAACAACCTAAATGTGTTTCACACAAAACCCTTCGCTACTTCCCCCGTTTCTTTTGCTTTCCCACTTGTATTTTTGAAAAAAAAAGAATAAAAAAGAACAGCGAAAAAGGTGCAGGAAATGAAAGTAACAATACGAACAAAAGTCTGCATGTTATGAATTTTTATTTTAACTCGTCATAAACGTATATATATTAACATAAATAGCAGCCAGGTGTCTATACTGACTAAGGCTGTTCTGTTATTAAAAAAAATGACATGCGTTATAATTTTAGCAAAAGATGATGTTGATTCTTTGAGAGTGAAAACATTTTATTAATACTTAGCTAAATTGTCTATACCCATGGTTTTTGGATCTTAGTTTTCTCAATTAAAACTAGTTTTCATGGCTTTTTCAATTTTCGGCTTTTACAATAACAACAAAAAAAAATTACAAACTACGCGCACCTGGACCGGTTAATAGTTTGTACCATTAAAGGCTTCTCTCTACGCCTCCTTCTGCGATTAATGTTTATATACCTGACAATGCCAGCAATTTAATTGAAACACACAAACATTATTCTTTAATCGTTTGAAGAATGTTACTTAAGAATCAGCTAATAAACGTAAGACACGCCTTTTTGATATTTACTGATTAGAATTTCTGATTAGAATTTCTGGTTGCAATGAATATTATACGCAACAAAGATCCGAAAAGAGATTCTGAAAATCGACATTGTGTCCAATTCAAGCTGAGCCTTCCTTGTAGAAATTTACACTCTACACCTTATTAAGTAAATTTTGTTTTGTTATTTAATGCTCCCCCAGCTTCTAAACTTTAAAAGCTATAATGCAAAATTTGGCTCCTTTTGTTATCTTTATAATAGCAATTGGAATAAATAAACAAAGCATCATTAGTCTCTCAATCAGCAAAATAGGAAAAAATACAGGCGGGAAAAAAGCGCGAACTTACAGGTGGTCAGTTCATCTTCCAACCACAAGGAAATGGCGGAACTAAGCAATATTACTGAAGATAAGACAACCCTAAAACAGTCCTGCTCGGCAGAATTTACTGAAGAAGTGCATGGTGAGCTGATCTTTCTTCCGGCAATAAATATCTTTTTCTCTTTTACTGCATTTCTGGGGAACACTCTGATCTTAGTTGCCTTACACAAAGAATCTTCACTTCATCCAGCGTCCAAACTCCTGTATCGTAACCTAGCGATAACTGATCTCTGTGTTGGTATCATTGTGGAGCCTCTGGATGTTGTTTCTTGGATTTCGATGCTGAACGAAAAATGGAATATTTGCTATTTCGCAAGTTTAACAAATTTTATGTCAGGTTTCCTTTTATGTGCGGTTTCTTTATTTACACTCGCCGCATTAAGCGTGGACAGACTTCTCGCTCTTGTGCTTGGACTTAGATACAGAAAAGTTGTAACTTTGAGGAGAACATATTTAATTGTAGCTGCCATGTGGATTTTGTCCATAGTCTTCGCATTATGCTCATTGATCTACTTTTGGAATCCTCAGAGTCATGTTCCATCACGGCTGTATGGCACAGTAATCCTTGTATGTCTTTCAATCTCTCTTTTTTCATACACAAAAATCTTTATCACTCTTCGTCATAACCACACAGGGCAACCGAGCCAAGCCGTTACCCTAAACACAGCTCGGTACAGAAAGGCAGTGTACATTGCACTGTGGGTGCAGGTAACATTGGTTGCTTGCTATCTGCCGTTCTTTATTATCGCCATAATAATGGCATTTCAAAGAGGAAGGCTGTCTTCTTCGGTCTGGCTTGCTTCGCAATTTACGGCTACTTTGGTTTATCTAAACTCGTCCTTTAACCCATTGCTTTACGGTTGGAAGATCAGAGAAGTAAGGAAAGCTGTAAAAGAAACATTAAGGAAACTTTTTCGTTTATCGAGTTAGTTTACCATACCTCTCAGCTAAAAATTCATGTTATTTTAAAAGTATTGATTTCACTGTCCTTCATGATTGAACACGCCGAGCGGTTTTTGTTATCACCTTCATGATATAGTTTACATACAATACTAAACCAGGAAGTATCTCAAAGCTAAAAAGTTTTATTACATCGCTAGTGATATTTCGTCTTCTTATAAAATGTTTAATCCAAAAGAGCATTGTAAAAAAATGAATAGTGTATTAAACGAGGAAGTAGAATGTATAGCGAATTAGATGTAATGTATAAGCGACTTCTGGCCCCTTTCTCCTGTTCTTTTAATTATCGATTTAATTAGTGAACAGAATGGTGAAAGCCGTTATTTGTCAGGTAAAAATGTTTTTTAAAAGGACAATAATAAAGAATCATGATTTTTTGTCTTAGTAGTTGCGATGTAGTCACTTTTGCAGTTAGAATCGCTACGTTTCGAATCTTCGAATGAATAATAAGCCTTGAAAAAATCCGGTTTTTACTTCTGAAAATGAATGCCATAAAACACCTTAAAGTCAAATCCAAAATTCCTATATTATCAAAAACCTGTTGGATTGGGGCAAATTTTCTATAGCAGCTTTGGAAGGCGAACTCAACAAGATCTGCTGAGCCAGAATTTTGCAGTCACTGACAAAACCTGCACAAACGCTAGAATTTTTTTTCCACACCTGCCAACTTGCCTAAAAGATACCTTGTTCACCCCCCAAAAGTTGCATAGCCATTGATTTAAATTTCGCCTGGGTATTACAGTAGTCCAAAGAAAAAGGCTTATAAACAATGGTTATAAAATTTTGACGAGTAGGCAAACGCGTGAGAAATTACAGTGTTTGTATGAGAATCTAATGTCGAATAATTTCCGTAAAACCGCTGTTCTGAAAAAAATATCGATTGTAAACTAAAACTACAAAGCAAAGGATTGTACTAAAAAATTTGGTGGGTGTACCCGCGCTTAAATTTCTCCAGAGGCTTGCTTTAGATTTTCCATTAATTTGTCTGTAATCTTCCCGGGACTTTCTTACAGACTAATGTATAGAAAACTTTAAAAAATGGTTCTAGGTCTTCTAGTGCATGTAACGCCCTCAAAGTTTTTCAGGAGAATCCTTAGGAGTGAAGCTTTAGTTTACAAATCATATTTTTTTCAGAACAGCCGTTCCACGGAAATTATTGGACATTAGATTCTCATACAAACACCGTAATTTCTCACGCGTTTGCCTACTCGTCAAGATGGTGTTAATATCATGACTGTGGGCAATGTTGTGTGGGTAGCCTGCGAAAACATCCGTTTCTCCTCGCTCTTCGCCGCTGGGGACGTTTCGCGCGAAACGTTCCCATCGGCAAAGAGCGAGGAGAAATGGATGTTGTCGCAGGCTATGTACGGGTAAAGCCGCTGACCAATACTGCATGTGGGTCTTGAAAAATTGCAAACAATGGTTTCAGGATTGATTGTGACGAATCTCTTCCATGTTTAACGCTTTTTTTGGAAAATGATGTTGCACAAAATTTTTGTAAATACAGCAAATGAGCCCCCCTCCCCCGTATGAATTAAGCTTCTTCTATAATTGTACCTCTTCCCCTCCAAAGCCTCCGCCTTTCTCTGGGACGTAAAAAAAATCCCTCGTGTTTCACGCAAATCTTTTCGCTACTTCTTTCTACTGCTTTCGCACTCGTAGTTTTTGCTTTGCTTACGTTCTTAGCGGTTCCCTCTTAACATTCTGAGCTCGACTCATTTTGGGTCCGAGTCCTGTGTCGCATACTGATTTTTAAGTAACAGCTGTAAACAGTCGGTATCAGTTAATCTACCTCGTTCCCAGGGTTCTCCCCTACCCTACTCTCTCTCGCTCCGTGGGGTGGGTAGGAGAGAACCCTGGGAAAGAGGTTGGCAGTTAATTTGCTGCCTTTTACATTTGTCGCTGCCATTATGGTCATGTAAAATCTCGCAAAAAAAAAAAAAAAATAGAAAAGAGCAGTGAAAAAAGGTACAGGAAAAGAAAGTAAAAAACGAATAAAAATTACGTGTTATAAACTCTTATTTACTCGCCATTAACGTACTGATTATCCTAAATAGTAGCCAGGTATCTATACTGATTACTGGCCGTTCTGCCAATAAGAACACTGAAATGACACCCGTTATAATTTTAAGAAAAATAATGTTGAATCTCCGAGAGTGAATACGTTTGATACTTAGCTAAGTCAGCTATACCCAACGTCTTTGGAGCTTAGTTCAATGAATGGAAACGATGTTTCATGGCGTTTTCAATATACCTTTCACAAGCTGTATTAATTATGTATTCAAATTTTTTTTTGAGCACTGAGTAGTAGCAATAGCCTGCTTATACGACTCTCACTTTTGTGTTTGGTGTAGCAAATCTTTTTGCTACTTCTTTCTACTGCTTTCGTACTTGTAGTTTTTGTTTGCTTACGTTCTCAGCGGTTCCCGCTTGGCATTCTCAGCTCGAATCATTTTGGGTCCGAATCTTGTGGCGCATACTGATTTTTAAGTGTCAACTGCAAACAGTTAGTACCAGTTAATTTGCTGTCTTTTACATTTGTCGCTTCCATTATGGTCATGTAAAATCTCGCCAAAAAAAAAAAAAAAATAGAGCAGTGAAAAAAGGTACAGGCCATCAAACTTAAAATACGAATAAAAAACTACATGTTATGAATTTTTATATTTACTCGCCTTAAACGTATATTAACATAAACAGCAGCCAGGTGTCTATACTGATAAGGGCAGTTCTGATATTAAAAAATGACATCCGTTATAATTTTAATAAAAGATGATGTTGAATCTTTGAGAAAGAAAACGTTTAATGCTTAGCTATGTCGTATATACCCATGAGTTTTGGATCTTAGTTCTCTTAATCGAAACGAATTTTTATGGGGTTTTCAATTTCCGACTTTATAACAGTCCAAAAAATTACAGTCTACAGACACCCTGACAGGTTTGCACCTCTAATTAAAAGGCTTCCTCTCTACGCCTCCTTTTACGATTAATGTTTATATGCTCATCAGTCAAACCTAACAATGCCAGCAATTTAATTGAAACTATAAAACATACGAACATGTGCTTTAATCATCTGAAAAATGTTATATAGGAATCAGCTAATAAACGTAAGAGACGCCTTTTTAATCTTTACTGGTTAGAATTTCTATGTCGCAATGAAGTTATTCACAATTTTATATCATACTCACCAGGACCCGAATCGACATTGTGTCCAATTTAAGCTAGGTCTCTCTTCCTTAGGATGATTTTACGACTTAATGAGTAAATTCTGTTTTGATATTTAAGGTGACTCGACCCAGTTTTTTTGGGGGGATACCATCCTACTTTGAAGCTCTCTGGTATCCCCACCTTTACTTTTATCGTAAGTCTAACACATAGAATGGATAACATATAGATCAATCTACAATATAACATAAAATTTTTGGCGATCGGAGTAAATGTCACGTGGTTATAATGCCACGCCCCTTTGAGGTCTGAGTCGAAAATCTGCTGTTGCCGGCATTTTTTCGTGAAAATCTCTCGGCTACACATAGTGCGCATTAGTGCCTTGCGCTGAACAGAGTTTCGCCAAAATCGCAAAGACCCAATTCGAGAAATTCAGCGGTTTCCAAATTTAGGTCATAATTTATGCGAAAATGATAAGCAAACTTTACACGGATTATATCTAATAAACTATGAGATTCATCTCTGTATTTTGGGCATCCTTATAACAGATGGGTCCTTGCAAGTCAGCAAAACGCTTTAGGGCCTTGTAAATGCGCGCGATTTCGAGCAAAGCAAACATTTAGAAATTATAGTTTTCGCTATTTGTTGACGTTTGTCAGCGTTTAAGAGTCAATCTCACGAAAAAAGCATTTTCTTAAAAATTCGTAGTTTTTTTTCCTTCAAATTTTTTCAGGGCCACAATTGATTAACTAACTACCCGGACTCTGAATTTCATGGTCATTGAAAAACTGTGACATTACCTTCTATAAGCCCAAACTTGAGTAAACAATGAAGATTTTTAGCGTTTTGGCTGAGTTTGTGCTTGGGGAGTTGTCTATTGTTTCTAGTCTGTCATTATACAGCATTCTTGTTCAGCACGCGTGCAATGACCGCGCTTGAGCTGCGCTTGGCTGACTTCCGAATATGATAATGTTGGTACAGTGAGACAGGCCATCGGGTGATACATAGAGGTTTAACTCACAACTTTTACTCAATTCTCGTGCTTCTTGTGCCTTTGCAAAAAAATCAAGAAGTGCTACACACTAAATCTACTTACTATTAAAAAAAATATCTTTTTTTGGTAGGTTTAATGCAAGCCAATAATTAAACCAACTCGTGACGGGAATCCCTTCTATTTTCTTATACTAAATTATCATATCTCGGTGAGCATTCGGAAGTCAGCCAAGCGTGGTTATTGCACGCGTGCTGAGCAAGAATGCTGTATAATGACAGACTAGAAACAATACACAACTCCCAAAGCACAAACTCAGCCAAAACGCTGAAAATCTCCAATGTTTACTCAAGTTTGGGCTTATAGAAGGTAATGTCACAGTTTTTCAATGACCATGAAATTCAGAGTCCGGGTAGTTAGTTAATCAGTTGTGGCCCTGAAAAAATTTGAAGGAAAAAAAACTACAAATTTTTAAGAAAATGCTTTTTTCGTGAGATTGACTCTTAAACGCTGACAAACGTCAACAATTAGCGAAAACTATAATTTCTATATGTTTGCTTTGCTCGAAATCGCGCGCATTTACAAGGCCCTAAAGCGTTTTGCTGACTTGCAGGGACCCATCTGTATAAGGATGCCCAAAATACAGAGATCAATTTCATAGTTTATTAGATATAAACCGTGTAAAGTTTGCTTATCATTTTCGCATAAATTATGACCTAAATTTGGAAACCGCTGAATTTCTCGAATTGGGTCTTTGAGATTTTGGTGAAACTCTGTTCAGCGCAAGGCACTTATGTGCACTATGTGTAGCCAAGAGATTTTCACGAAAAAATGCCGGCAACAGCAGATTTTCGACTCAGACCTTACAGGGGCGTGGCATTATAACCGCGTGACATTTACTCCGATCGCCCAAAATTTTATGTTATATTGTACATTGATCTATATGTTGTTCATTCTATGTGTTAGACTTACGATAAAAGTAAAGGTGGGGATACCAGAGAGCTTCAAAGTAGGTTGGTACCCCCTAAAAAAAACTGGGTCGAGTCACCTTAATGCTCCTCCAGCTTTCGATACAGAAACGCAGTGTACAGTGCACTGTGGGTGCAGGTAGCATTGGTTGCTTGCTATCTGCCGTTCTTTATTACCGCAATAGTATTGGCATCTCAAAGAGGAAGAAGGGTGTCTTCTTCGGTTTGGCTTGCTTCGCAATTTGCGGCTACTTTGGTTTATCTAAACTCTTCCTTTAACCCATTGCTTTACAGTTGGAAGATCAGAGAAGTAAGGAAAGCTGTAAAAGAAACATTAAGGAAACTTTTTCGTTTATCGAGTTAGTATACCATACCTCTCAGCTAAAAATTCATGTTATTTTAAAAGTATTGATTTCACTGTCCTTCATGATTGAACACGCCGAGCGGTTTTTGTTATCACCTCCATGATATAGTTTACATACAATACTAAACCAGGAAGTATCTCAAAGCTAAAAAGTTTTATTACATCTCTGGTGATATTTCGTCTTCTTATAAAATGTTTAATCCAAAAGAGCATTGTAAAAAAATGAATAGTGTACTAAACGAGAAGGTAGAATGTATAGCAAATTAGATGTAATGTATAGGCGACTTCTGGCCCCTTTCTCCTGTTCTTATAGATTTAATTACTGAACAGAATGGTGGAAGCCCTTATTTGTCAGGTAAAGATGATTTAAAAAAAAAGATAAAGAATCATGATTTTTTGTTTTACGATGTAGTCACTTTTGCACTGAGAATCGCTACGTTTCGAATGCATAATAAGCCTATCAACAAAAATCACTTTCCGGAATATCTCGTGTTTTAAAAAATCCGGTTTTACTTCAGAAAATAAATGCCATAAAACTCCTGAAAGTCAAATCCAGAAATCCTATAATATTAAAAACCTTGTGGATTGGGGCGAAATTTCTACAACTCAGCAAGATCTGCTGAGCCTGCTTTTGCACTCACTGACAAAACCTGGACAAACGCTGGGAATTCACGGCTGTCAACTTGCCTAAAAGATACCTTCTTCCCCCCCCCCAAAAGTTGCATAGCCATTGATTTAAATTTCGCCTGGGTATCACAGTAGTCCAAAAAAAAGCTTATAAACTATGGTTATAAAAATTGAGGGGATCAAACGAGGTGTTAATATTACTGTGGGTAATGTTGTGAAAATCGTGAACTCTGTGTGGGTAAAGCCCCGCTGACAAATACTGCGTGTGGGTCTTGAAAAATTGCAAACAAAGGCTTCAGGATTGATTGTAACGAATCTCTTCCATGTTTAAAGCTTTATTTTGGAAAGTGATGTTGCACAAAATTTTTGTTGATACAGCAAATGAGCGTCCCTCCTCCCCCCGAATTAAGCTTCTTCTATAATTGAACCTCTCCCCCTCCAAAGCCTCCGCCTTTCTCTAGGACGTAAAAAAAACTCCCTTGTCTTTCACGCAAATCTTTTCGCTACTTCTTTCTACTGCTTTCGCACTCGTATTTTTTTTGCTTTGCTTACGTTCTCAGCGGTTCCCGCTTGGCATTCTCAGCTCGAATCATTTTGGGTCCGAATCTTGTGGCGCATACTGATTTTTAAGTAACAGCTGTAAACAGTTAGTACCAGTTAATTTGCTGTCTTTTACATTTGTCGCTTCCATTATGGTCATGTAAAATCTCGCCAAAAAAATAGAGCAGTGAAAAAAGGTACAGGCCATCAAACTTAAAATACGAATAAAAAACTACATGTTATGAATTTTTGTATTTACTCGCCTTAAACGTATATTAACATAAACAGCAGCCAGGTGTCTATACTGATAAGGGCAGTTCTGTTATTAAAAAATGACATCCGTTATAATTTTAATAAAAGATGATGTTGAATCTTTGAGAAAGAAAACGTTTAATGCTTAGCTATGTCGTATATACCCATGAGTTTTGGATCTTAATTCTCTTAATCGAAACGAATTTTTATGGGGTTTTCAATTTCCGACTTTATAACAGTCCAAAAAATTACAGTCTACAGACACCCTGACAGGTTTGCACCTCTAATTAAAAGGCTTCCTCTCTACGCCTCCTTTTACGATTAATGTTTATATGCTCATCAGTCAAACCTAACAATGCCAGCAATTTAATTGAAACTATAAAACATACAAACATGTGCTTTAATCATCTGGAAAATGTTATATAGGAATCAGCTAATAAACGTATGAGACGCCTTTTTAATCTTTACTGGTTAGACTTTCTATGTCGCAATGAAGTTATTCACAATTTTATATCATACCCACCAGGACCCGAAACTAAAGAGATTCTGAAAATCGACATTGTGTCCAACTTAAGCTAGGCTTCTCTTCCTTAGGATGATTTTACGACTTAATGAGTAAATTCTGTTTTGATATTTAAGGTGACTCGACCCGTGCAATGACCGCGTGCAATGACGCGTGCAATGACCGCGCTTGAGCTGCGCTATGGCTTGGCTGACTTCCGAATATGATAATGTTAGTACAGTGAGACAGGCCATCGCGTGATACATAGAGGTTTAACTCACAATTTTTACTCAATTCTCGTGCTTCTTGTGCCTTTGCAAAAAAATCAAGAAGTGCTACACACTAAATCTACTTACTATTAAAAAAAATATCTTTTTTTGGTAGGTTTAATGCAAGCCAATAATTAAACCAACTCGTGACGGGAATCCCTTCTATTTTCTTATACTAAATTATCATATCTCGGTGAGCATTCGGAAGTCAGCCAAGCGTGGTTATTGCACGCGTGCTGAGCAAGAATGCTGTATAATGACAGACTAGAAACAATACACAACTCCCAAAGCACAAACTCAGCCAAAACGCTAAAAATCTCCAATGCTTACTCAAGTTTGGGCTTATAGAAGGTAATGTCACAGTTTTTCAATGACCATGAAATTCAGAGTCCGGGTAGTTAGTTAATCAGTTGTGGCCCTGAAAAAATTTGAAGGAAAAAAAACTACGAATTTTTAAGAAAATGCTTTTTTCGTGAGATTGACTCTTAAACGCTGACAAACGTCAACAAATAGCGAAAACTATAATTTCTATATGTTTGCTTTGCTCGAAATCGCGCGCATTTACAAGGCCCTAAAGCGTTTTGCTGACTTACAAGGACCCATCTGTCATAAGGATGCCCAAAATACAGAGATGAATTTCATAGTTTATTGGATATAAACCGTGTAAAGTTTGCTTATCATTTTCGCATAAATTATGACCTAAATTTGGAAACCGCTGAATTTCTCGAATTGGGTCTTTGCGATTTTGGCGAAACTCTGTTCAGCGCAAGGCACTTATGTGCACTATGTGTAGCCGAGAGATTTTCACGAAAAAATGCCGGCAACAGCAGATTTTCGACTCAGACCTTACAGGGGCGTGGCATTATAACCACGTGACATTTACTCCGATCGCCCAAAATTTTATGTTATATTGTACATTGATCTATATGTTGTTCATTCTGTGTGTTAGACTTACGATAAAAGTAAAGGTGGGGATACCAGAGAGCTTCAAAGTAGGTTGGTACCCCCTAAAAAAAACTGGCTCGAGTCACCTTAATGCTCCTCCAGCTTTTAAACTTTAGAACCTATAGTGCAGAATTTGGCCCCGTTTGTTAATAACTGTAAAAGCAGTTGGAATAGGTAAACAAAACAACTTTAGTCTCTCAATTAGCAGAACAGTTGACAGGCAAATTAATTAAAATATACGAAAAGAAATAAATACAGGAAAAAAGCGCGAACTTACAGGTAGTCATTTTATCTTGCAGCCAGACGGAAATGGCAGAACTAAGCAATATTACGGAGGATGAAAACCAAAAGACATCCCTAGAACAGTCCTGCTCGGCAGAATTTACCGGAGTCGTACATGGTGAACTGCTCTTTCTTCCAGCGATAAATATCTTTTTCTCCATTGCTGCATTTCTGGGCAACAGTCTGATCCTAGTTGCCTTACACAAAGAATCTTCACTTCATCCGCCGTCCAAACTCCTGTATCGTAACCTCGCGATAACTGATCTGTGTGTTGGTATCATTGTGGAGCCTCTGAATGTTGTTTCTTGGATTTCGATGCTGAACGAAAAATGGAATATTTGCTATTACGCAAGTTTGACAACTTTTATCTCAGGTTTACTTCTATGTGTGGTTTCTTTATTTACACTCACTGCATTAAGCGTTGACAGACTTCTCGCTCTTGTGCTTGGAATTAGATACAGACAAGTTGTAACTTTGAGGAGAACATATTTAATTGTAGTTGCTATGTGGATTTTGTCCATTGTCCTCGCGTTATTCACATTAATATACTATTGGAATCCTCAGAGTCATGTTTCATCACGGCTCCTTGGCACAGTAATCATTGTATGTCTTTTTTACTTCTTTTTTTTCATACACAAAAATTTTTATCACTCTTCGTCATAACCAACATCAAGTACACAGCCACATTTCTCAAGGGCAACCGAGCCAAGCCGTTGCCTTGACCACAACTCGATACAGAAAGGCAGTGTACAGTGCACTGTGGGTGCAGGTAGCATTGGTTGCTTGCTATCTGCCGTTCTTTATTACCGCAATAGTATTGGCATCTCAAAGAGGAAGAAAGGTGCCTTCTTCGGTTTGGCTTGCTTCGCAATTTGCGGCTACTTTGGTTTATCTAAACTCTTCCTTTAACCCATTGCTTTACAGTTGGAAGATCAGAGAAGTAAGGCAAGCTGTAAAAGAAACATTAAGGCAACTTTTTCGTTTATCGAGTTAGTATACCATACCTCTCAGCTAAAAATTCATGTTATTTTAAAAGTATTGATTTTACTGTCCTTCATGATTGAACACGCCAAGCGGTTTTTGCTATCACCTTCATGATATAGTTTACATACAATACTAAACCAGGAAGTATCTCAAAGCTAAAAAGTTTTATTACATCTCTGGTGATATTTCGTCTTCTTATAAAATGTTTAATCCAAAAGAGCATTGTAAAAAAATGAATAGTGTATTAAACGAGGAAGTAGAATGTATAGCAAATTAGATGTAATGTATAAGCGACTTCTGGCCTCTTTCTCCTGTTCTTTTAATTATCGATTTAATTAGTGAACAGAATGGTGAAAGCCGTTATTTGTCAGGTAAAAATTTTTTTTAAAAGGACAATAATAAAGAATCATGGTTTTTTGTCTTAGTAGTTGCGATGTAGTCACTTTTGCTGCGAGAATCGCTACGTTTCGAATCTTCGAATGAATAATAAGCCTTAAAAAAATCCGGTTTTTACTTCTGAAAATGAATGCCATAAAACACCTTAAAGTCAAATCCAAAATTCCTATAATATCAAAAACCTGTTGGATTGGGGCAAAATTTCTATAGCAGCTTTGGAAGGCGAACTCAACAAGATCTGCTGAGCCAGCATTTTGCAGTCACTGACAAAACCTGGACAAACGCTAGAATTTTTTTTTCCACACCTGCCAACTTGCCTAAAAGATACCTTGTTCATCCCCCAAAAGTTGCATAGCCATTGATTTAAATTTCGCCTGAGTATTACAGTAGTCCAAAGAAAAAAGCTTATAAACAATGGTTATAAAATTTTGACGAGTAGGCAAACGCGTGAGAAATTACAATGTTTGTAGGAGAATCTAATGTCGAATAATTTCCGTAAAACCGCTGTTCTGAAAAAAATATCAGTTGTAAACTTAAACTACAAAGCAAAGGATTGTCCTAAAAAATTTGGGGGGCGTACCCGCGCTTAAATTTCTCCAGAGGCTTGCTTTAGATTTTCCATTAATTTGTCTGTAATCTTCCCGGGACTTTCTTACAGACAAATGTATAGAAAACTTTAAAAAGTGGTTCTAGGTCTTCCAGTGCATGTAACGCCCTCAAATTTTTTCAGGAGAATCCTTAAGAGTGAAGCTTTAGTTTACCAATCATATTTTTTTCAGAACAGCCGTTCCACGGAAATTATTGGACATTAGATTCTCATACAAACACTGTAATTTCTCACGCGTTTGCCTACTCGTCAAGATGGTGTTAATATCATGACTGTGGGCAATGTTGTGTGGGTAGCCTGCGAAAACATCCGTTTCTCCTCGCTCTTCGCCGCTGGGGACGTTTCGCGCGAAACGTTCCCATCGGCGAAGAGCGAGGAGAAATGGATGTTGTCGCAGGCTATGTACGGGTAAAGCCGCTGACCAATACTGCGTGTGGGTCTTGAAAAATTGCAAACAATGGCTTCAGGATTGATTGTAACGAATCTCTTCCATGTTTAAAGCTTTTTTTGGAAAATGATGTTGCACAAAATTTTTGTAAATACAGCAAATGAGCCCCCCTCCCCCCTATGAATTAAGCTTCTTCTATAATTGTACCTCTCCCCCTCCAAAGCCTCCGCCTTTCTCTGGGACGGAAAAAAAATCCCTCGTGTTTCACGCAAATCTTTTCGCTACTTCTTTCTACTGCTTTCGCACTCGTAGTTTTTGCTTTGCTTACGTTCTTAGCGGTTCCCTCTTAACATTCTGAGCTCGAATCATTTTGGGTCCGAGTCCTGTGTCGCATACTGATTTTTAAGTAACAGCTGCAAACAGTCGGTATCAGTTAATCTACCTCGTTCCCAGGGTTCTCCCCTACCCTACCCTCTCTCCCTCCGTGGGGTGGGTAGGAGAGAACCCTGGGAAAGAGGTTGGCAGTTAATTTGCTGCCTTTTACATTTGTCGCTGCCATTATGGTCATGTAAAATCTCGCAAAAAAAAAAAAAAAATAGAAAAGAGCAGTGAAAAAAGGTACAGGAAAAGAAAGTAAAAATAGGAATAAAAATTACGTGTTATGAACTCTTATTTACTCGCCATAAACTTACTGATTATTTTAAATAGCAGCCAGGTGTCTATATTGATTAGGGCCGTTCTGCCAATAAGAAAAAATGACACCCGTTCTAATTTTAAGAAAAATAATGTTGAATCTCCGAGAGTGAATACGTTTAATACTTAGCTAAGTCAGCCATACCCATCGTTTTTGGAACTTAGTTCTATTAATGGAAACGATGTTTCATGTCGTTTTCAATATACCTTTCACAAGCTGTATTAATCATGTATTCAATTTTTTTTTGGAGCACGAGTAGTAGCAATAGCCTGCTTATACGGCTCTCACTTTTGTGTTTGGTGTAGCAAATCTTTTCGCTACTTCTTTCTACTGCTTTCAGACTCGTATTTTTTTGCTTTACTTACGTTCTCAGCGGTTCCCGCTTGGCATTCTCAGCTCGAATCATCTTGCGTCCGAATCTTGTAGCGCGTACTGATTTTTAAGTAACAGCTGAAAACAGTTAGTACCAGTTAATTTGCTGTCTTTTACCTTTGTCGCTTCCATTATGGTCGTGTAAAATCTCGCCAAAAAAATAGAGCAGTGAAAAAAGGTACAGGAAATGAAAGTAAAAATACGAATAAAAAACTACGTGTTATGAATTTCTATATTTACTCGCCTTAAACGTATATTAACATAAACAGCAGCCAGGCGTCTATACTGATTAGGGCAGTTCTGTTATTGACAAAGAAAATGTTAAATTGGATCTTAGTTCTCTTAATCGAAACGAGTTTTTATGGCGTGTTCAATTTCGGACTTTGACAGTCCAACAATTACAACCTACGCACCCTGACAGGTTTGCACCTATAAAGGCTTCCTCTCCACGCCTCCTTCTACGACTAATGTTTATATACTCATCAGTCAAGCCTAACAATGTCAGCAATTTAATTGAAACTATAAATAATGGTAATTGAACTAAGTGGAGTGCAATTTGGTCTGAAATCATACGCGTGATTTCAAAATCGAACGAGCGCGCAGCGCGAGTTTGATTTGAAATCACAAGTATGATTTCAGACCAAAATTGCACGACACGAAGTTCAATTACCACTTTATTACATCCATTTTGAAATCGCAGAATTTAGTCAGTACTAATATTTTATTGATCGAGTAGCCGGTTTGTTAAAAAGCCGAAACAAAAAGGCTTTTACATCTCATTTTGTATTTGAAACAGAAATGATGCAATATATAGAACAAAAATGGTGCGATTTAAAACAGAAATGATGCGATTTAGAACATGAATGACGAGATTTGGAACAGATGCGATTTAGCGCAAAAAAGGGTGCGATTTAGGAATAAATCACACTGCTGAGAGCCAATCAGATTGCACGGATAGCCAGTGATTTCAAAGTGGATGTAATAAAACATACAAACACGCGCTTAAATCATTTGAAGAATGTTGTATAATAGAATCAGCCAATAAACGTAAGAGACGCCTTTTTAATACTTACTGGATAGAATTTCTTGTCGCAATGTAGTTATTCACAATTTTATTTCATGCACACCAAGTCCTGAAACTAAAGAGATTCTGAAAATCGACATTGTGTCCAATTTAAACTAAGCCTTTGTTCCTCGGGAAAATTACATTTTACAACTTATTGAATAAATTCTGTTTTGTTATTTAATGCTCCTCCAGCTTCTAAACTTTAAAAGCTATAATGCAAAATTTGGTCCTTTTTGTTGATCATTATAAAAGCAGTTGGAATAAGTAAACAAAAGAACATTAGCCTCTCAATCAGCAAAATAGTTGACAGGCAAATTAAATTATATGAAAGGAAATAAATACAGGAAAAAAGCGCGAACTTACAGGTAATCATTTTGTCTTGCAGCGAGACGGAAATGGCAGAACTAAGCAAGATTACTGAAGATGAAAACCAAAAGACATCCCTAGAACAGTCCTGCTCGGCAGAATTTACTGGAGTCGTACATGGTGAGCTGATCTTTCTCTCAGCAATAAATATATTTTTCTTCATTGCTGCATTTCTGGGGAACACTCTGATCTTAGTTGCCTTACACAAAGAATCTTCTCTTCATCCGGCGTCCAAACTCCTGTATCGTAACCTCGCGATAACTGATCTGTGTGTTGGTATCATTGTGGAGCCTCTGCAGGTTGTTTCTTGGATTTCGATGCTGAACGAAAAATGGAATATTTGCTATTACGCAAAATTAACAAATTTTATGTCAGGTTTACTTCTATGTGTGGTTTCTTTATTTACACTCGCCGCATTAAGCGTTGACAGACTTCTCGCTCTTGAGCTTGGAATTAGATACAGACAAGTTGTAACTTTGAGGAGAACATATTTAATTGTAGTTGCCATGTGGATTTTGTCCATTGTCCTCGCATTATTCACATTAATCTACTATTGGAATCCTCTGAGTCATGTTGCATCACGGCTCCTTGGCACAGTAATCATTGTATGTCTTTTTACCTCTTTTTTTTCATACACAAAAATTTTTATCACTCTTCGCCATAACCAACATCAGGTACACAACCACATTTCTCAAGGGCAACCGAGCCAAGCCGTTGCCTTGACCACAGCTCGATACAAAAAGGCAGTGTACAGTGCACTGTGGGTGCAGGTAACATTGGTTGCTTGCTATCTGCCGTTCTTTATAACCGCCATAGTACTGGCATCTCAAAGAGGAAGAAGGCTGTCTTCTTCGGTTTGGCTTGCTTCGCAATTTACGGCTACTTTGGTTTATCTAAACTCGTCCTTTAACCCATTGCTTTACGGTTGGAAGATCAGAGAAGTAAGGCAAGCTGTAAAAGAAACATTAAGGAAACTTTTTCGTTTATCGAGTTAGTTTACCATACCTCTCAACCAAAAATTCATGCTAATTTAAAAGTATTGATTTTACTGTCCTTCATGATTGAACACGCCGAGCGGTTTTTGCTATCACAACTTCATGATATAGTTTACATACAATACTAAACCAGGAAGTATCTCAACGCTAAAAAGTTTTATTACATATCTGGTGATATTTCGTCTTCTTATAAAATGTTTAATCCAAAAGAGCATTTTGAAAAAATGAATAGTGTATTAAACGAGGAAGTAGAATGTATAGCGAATTAGACGTAATATGTAGGCGACTTCTGGCCCCTTTTTCTTGTTATTATAGATTTAATTAGTCAACAGAATGGCGGAAGCCTTTATTTGTCAGGTAAAAATGTTTTTTAAAAAGACAATAATAAAGAATCATGATTTTTTTTGTCTTAGTAGTTGCGATGTTGTCACTTTTGCAGTTAGAATCGCTACGTTTCGAATCTTCGAATGCATAATAAGCCTTAAAAAAATCCGGTTTTTAGTTTTGAAAATGAATGCTATAAAACACCTGAAAGTCAAATACAAAATTCCTATAATATCAAAAACCTGTTGGATTGGGGCAAAATTTCTATAGCAGCTTTGGAAGGCGAACTCAACAAGATCTGCTGAGCCAGCATTTTGCAGTCACTGAGAAAACCTGGACAAAGGCTAGAAATTCACAGCTGCCAACTTGCCTAAAGGATACCTTGTTCACCCCCCAAAAGTTGCATATTTCGCCTGAGTATTACAGTAGTCCAAAGAAAAAAGCTTATAAACAATGGTTATAAAATTTTACCGCTCGTGCTCATTTTGTAGTCATAGACAAAGGTGCTGGACAGTTCTATCTGAGCTCTGGTACGAGGTAACGTCCAATCTCAATACTTTTTTCCTGAGTTGGAAGCAACGAACAGCAGTAAAAGTCGTTGAAAATGCATTGCAATACATCAAAATGTATGCAGCAGGAGTTTGAGCCAAAACCGCCAAGGGATATTTGAAAACTGTCGAAGAACAAGTCATTCTACTTTAGAGCAAGGTTTGGAGCAATTTATATAGTGCTTCTCGACAGGCAAGCGGCTTTTGTTTTAAGAATTAGCAAACGTTGAGCTTACTTGTCCCGAAAATTTGAACTGGTGGCTCCTTCTACCTGATAGTAATTTATTTTTGAAATTCCAAAACAATTTCGCAGCTGAATTTTGAGCGACTTTTAGTTACGGACTTCTGCTCCAACGATTTTTCTGAAATTCCTCTGGCATATTTATTATATCAATTAAAGCCGATAACAGAAATTTCAGTAAAAAATATCAGAGGTGATTTTCTTTGAACAGTAAGGTCCTTTTAAGCGCTAATTTCTCAAGAAATATTAACCATCAATGAAATCGGAATATTTCGTATTATTGCCGAATGATATCTGTTGTTCTTTGGTTCGCAGCCATCGCGTTAAAATCGAAAAAGTTATGACGGAAAATTTGTCACAGCAAAATGCTCTATTATTAATTACGGAGCCACCTTAAAGCTTTTTTTGGAAAATAATGTTGCACAAAATTTTTGTAAATACAGCAAATGAGCCCCCCTCCCCCCCTGAATTAAGCTTCTTCTATAATTGTACCTCTTCCCCTCCAAAGCCTCCGCCTTTCTCTGGGACGGAAAAAAATCCCTTGTGTTTCACGCAAATCTTTTCGCTACTTCTTTCTACTGCTTTTGCACTCGTATTTTTTTGCTTTGCTTACGTTCTTAGCGGTTCCCTCTTAGCAAACTCAGCTCGAATCATTTTGGGTCCGAATCCTGTGCCACATACTGATTTTTAAGTAACAGCTGCAAACAGTCTGTATCAGTTAAGGTGGCTCGACTGGATTTTTTGGGGTTGATACCTCCCAACTTTGAGCATTAACTACGTCTGCATGAGTAAAGATATGGAAAAATGGTTACCACAACTGTATTATATAAAGATGAAAATTTCTTATGATCTGGGTTTTATTGCAATCGGAGTCGCCATGGCATTGTAATGACGCCATTACGTTTTTCATTTATCTTTGTGTTTCTCTGTTCCAGGAGTTTTTTGAAGAAATCGCTTAAGGGAGTATGTACCTGCTATAATTGCCTCCATTATGGCGTAGTTTGAACTAATTCTATGAGAGCGTTTTCGAAATATTTTGAAATGTAGTTTTAAGAATGATAAAAACAGTGAAATAGCATGCTAGCCACACAATTCGCTAATATTTTAAGAAAATGGTAAGCTTTGGGGACGAGGCTTCATCTCATAGTGATTTGATTCCATTGAAAACTGCATACAAAAAACGAGGGGAATTGCTCTGGGCGATCGCGAGTAAGAAGAATTTTATTAACTTGCATTCAGCTGCTTTTGATAGAGTTTTTGGACGTAATTTGGTCCATGCCTAAAAATTTCGCATTTTTTCAAAAACCGCTCGATAAATTTTTTTATAAATTCGACAATCCCGAGATCAATTGTCAAGAAATATTCCCTGCAAGTTTCAAGAACATTGAAAATAGGGAAGGCTTTTAAATAGGGCCTCAAATATAACCAATTTTCCCCCCAGATTTTGTGTTGACAACTGAGCGTCCTCATTATTCACTGGCATTGTTTTCAAGTTTCATATGCACGTGCACAACTAGCAAAAGATATAAATTTGCATCAAAAAGAACTCTCGATTACTTTCCGAAGAAATATCCTGAATATGCTAACAATTGGCTTGTCGTCACAGATAGCAGTGAGAGCCGAAACGGTGAAAGTCACGGCTCATCGTGCAGGATGAAATATTTAATTATCTTACTCGGGTTATAACATCACAGAAACTCTCACAAAGAGTTGCTCTGATGTTTTAATGTATCATTAATCTCTTTACCCGGTAATTAGCATATCCCGGAGATTTAACCGAGGGTCCTTTTTGATGCAAATTTATATCTTTTGCTAGTTGTGCACGTGCATATGAAACTTGAAAACAATGCCAGTGAATAATGAGGACGCTCAGTTGTAAACACAAAATCTGGGGGGAAAATTGGTTATATTTGAGGCCCTATTTAAAAGCCTTCCCTATTTTCAATGTTCTTGAAACTTGCAGGGAATATTTCTTGACAATTGATCTCGGGATTGTCGAATTTATAAAAAAATTTATCGAGCGGTTTTTGAAAAAATGCGAAGTTTTTAGGCATGGACCAAATTACGTCCAAACACTCTATCAAAAGCAGCTGAATGCAAGTTAATAAAATTCTTCTTACTCGCGATCGCCCAGAGCAATTCCCCTCGTTTTTTGTATGCAGTTTTCAATGGAATCAAATCACTATGAGACGAAGCCTCGTTCCCAAAGCTTACCATTTTCTTAAAATATTAGCGAATTGTGTAGGTAGCATGCTATTTCACTGTTTTGATTATTCTTAAAACTACATTTCAAAATATTTCGAAAACGCTCTCATAGAATTAGTTCAAACTACGCCATAATGGAGGCAATTATAGCAGGTACATACTCCCTTAAGCGATTTCTTCAAAAAACTCCTGGAAGAGAGAAACACAAAGATAAATGAAAAACGTAATGGCGTCATTACGTTGCCATGGCGACTCCGATTGCAATAAAACCCAGATCATAAGAAATTTTCATCTTCATATAATACAGTTGTGGTAACCATTTTTCCATATCTTCACTCATGCAGACGTAGTTAATGCTCAAAGTTGGGAGGTATCAACCCCAAAAAATCCAGTCGAGCCACCTTAATCTACCTCGTTCCCAGGGTTCTCCCCTCCCCTACTCTCTCTCGCTCCGTGGGGTGGGTAGGAGAGAACCCTGGGAAAGAGGTTGTCAGTTAATTTGCTGCCTTTTACATTTGTCACTGCCATTATGGTCATGTTAAATCCCGCAAAAAAAAAAATAGAAAAGAGCTGTGAAAAAAGGTACACGGTTTTTGGATCTTAGTTCTCTTAGTCGAAACGAGTTTTTATGGCGTTTTCAATTTCAGACTTTATAACAGTCCAAAAAATTTCAACAGTGACTGAGTTCATTTGCTGAAAGCATCAGCCGAAGCAAAATATATCATTTTTTCTGTTCCGTTTTTTTAGTTTTTAGTTCAATATAGCATAGTAATCATGCAGTCATTGTCTCGCAGGTTTTGCGAATACAGCTATTTCAAGAAAGGTCGTCAGAAAAAGTGCACGCGACAGTTCCGAAAGGTATTGTGGGTAGTTTTGAGTTCAGTGTAACTGTTCTTCAAAGACAAGAAATTTGAAAGAATTTCACAAGAGGAACTTATGTTTGCGAGTGGTAAAGGAAGGCAACAAGTAGGTACGACAGCTAAAGTGTCACGGGAACAGTGTATTGATCATATCCCATATTACCTTTCGGGATTGTCGGAGGCATATTTTTTCGTACAACCTTTCTCAAAAGAGCTGTATGGTAA